CTGCATTTTCCAATATCTGTACAGCCCCTATATAAGCTGTTCACTTGGTCACAATTCAGTGTAATCAGTTTTCACCAGTGTGGATGGACATATTCTACATAACTATTGTAAAACTCTCGGTATTGACAAAAGTAACAGTTTTCGTCTTTCACAGCAGAAGGGAAAGTTACCGAAGAAACTTACATCAGTTGCGTAAATCAGTGCTGTACAAACTAACACAAATACATGTAAACTGCAATAAAAAGGAAACAAAGGTAATGTAAGATAACCAACACAAACATGTGTCATCCATTCCACGCAGGTAACCATGACAGGAAAGTGGTCAGTTGTAATGAATACAAAGGGTATACTCCAGTGCTGATATTGGAGATGGGAAAATTAATATGGTGTATGCCTATTAGGAGTTGTGTTCAGCTTTAAGGGATAAATTTAATAGCTACCTAATTTATACATTATAAACTGGGTTGGGGCAGTCTATGCTTTATAAACTACAAAACGGTTTATAAAATAGTCTTGTCCCATGATCCCTTGCACTTTGGGGTCATGTAACGAAGTGTTAACTGCTCAAATCCAGTTTATACCTTATGAACTCGGTAGCTCTAAAATTCATTTCTTATAATTTAATTTTCTTTCATTTAGTGTAAGGAGAAAAATTTTTATTGCCGTTTAAAGATGACTTCAAATTGTATCAAATTTAACGAGGCTGAGTCTAATTCGAGTGCGCATGATTTTGCACAGCTTTTTACTTTCATGCATTCATAGGTGCAACATAACACTTATCCTAAGTATTGTAATTTTGATACAAAATTAACATTATATTACATTATCTGTAACGTTTATGGGTCTTAAAATGTGATTTTTGAAATGGCTTTCACGACGTCATTGTTTTTCGGTTCTCTAAGCAATGCATGATGCTGAAGAATGACGCAGGACTCGCTTGAGTTTTCAAGACGTCCATGGATATTTTATTAAAAACTGTTATCAGAACATCAAAAGAAACATACCAGCAATCTAAACATTGTTATTTTTTACCAAAATAATTTATCTGTGCCGATATATACAAAATGTATGCTGCAATATGGCAAATTAAGAGGTATTGGGCATTGGAAAAAATAAACTAGACCAAACCAGATGGTCAAATTTTTTTAAATTTCACTATTTGGTGACATTTTACAGTAACTTTCATGGATTTGACTGAAAAGGAAATCCCTAGGGCAGAAATACAAAAGATATGGGGAAAATGTGATAATTTGGCACTTTTCCAACAAATTCCCATAGGGTCCAATAGTAAAATTTGACATCTTTTGAGATGGCCCCCTAAGAAATCAGAATGGTTAACATTTGATTTTTTTATATCTTAAAATAATTAATATAATAGTAAAAATTCATTCAAGAAAATTTATCAAAATACCTAGGGTAGAAATAATTAGACTCGGCATCGTTAAATATGATGTCAGACGGATCAGTACATGTTTGAGGCAGGAAGTCCTCGTGACGCAGTCAATACACTTTATACAGTATAAATTAAATTTTTTTATCCGATCAAATGGTGTGTTACAACCAGAATTAAATTATATCTAATTAATATTCTGAAATTAATTTTTAAACAGCTTTTGTTATTTTCATAAGAAAAAGTTGGTATTACCATTTTAATTATGAAAATATTTTATATGGTATAAGTGCTAGAAGTACCAGTATATTGTATTTATTGCTAAATGGCAACTAACTTTCATACAGTGGATGTGAATATTATCATTAAACTGAGATCTGACTTCATTTAGGTGAACACTAAAAAGCAGTCCACTCCTGATCACATAAAATATATCCAAAACCAGTTCAAAATGTCAAATAAAAATACCCCTCAAGACTGTATTTCCTTACCCTTTTTGGTCTATCCTGGAAGTAAGGAAAATCCTTTACAAGGACATGCTTTGCTATTTCTGGATCGGCCACTGTAATTAAAGGAGTTTTCCCATACCAAGATCTGTAAAAACAATTGCATTATTTTTATTTAACTACATTACAAATGGTTGTGAAGAATACACAAGTGCAATATGAAAGCACAATTGTTAAAAGTTAAGGCCAAAGTTAAAGTTTTACAAAAGTATTTCAAATTCCGAGGTCAAGGTCAAAATGTTGGTACCTGAAGAAAAGTTTTGTCACAATAATTACTTACCATGAGTCAAACTCCAAGGTCAAGGTCATGAGGTCAAAAATGTTGGTACCCAAAAAAGGACTTGTCATAAGGAATACACATGTGAAACATAAAAGCTTTAGCATCAACTGTGTAAGAGTTATGGCCAAGGTTAGTTTTTTCAAAAGTATAAAAAAAAAAACTCCAGGGTTTAAAAGACTTGATTGATTAGCCAGCCGGATGTAAATTTCTGTACACCTGGCTTGAGCTGGGGGTAAAAAACGTGATGTTACAATGCATAGTTTTTTATCAAAAAAAGCAATAACATGATGTGACGATGCATTTCTTGTTGATAGTTTGAAACACCAATGATTGGACAGAGGATTTATTTGGTTACAGAGGAAATAAAATTGTTATCCAGGTCCAATCAAGGATGTACAGGGGTTTACCCTGGGTTGTATTCCATACACCCTTTGGCCTCCAATCAAGGGTAAATCCCCCTACACCCTTGATTGAACCTGGATAACTAATATTACACATGTGAAATATGAAATTCCTAGCACCAACAAATCAAAAGTTATGGTGAAGGTTTAAGTTTTACAAAAGTAGGACAAAAGAAGGTCAAACACCAAGGTCTAAGTCATGAGGTCAGAAATGTTGGTAGCCAAAAACAGGTCACGTCACAAGGATTACACATGTGAAATAAGAGGCCAAAAATTATGGCCAAAATTCTAGTTTTACAAAAGCAAGTCAAACTCCAAGGTCATGAGGTTAAAAATGTTGGTTCTTGAAGAAAGGACTTACCATAAGAAATAGACATTAAATATGTGAATTATGAAAGCCCTACTGCCAACCATACATTAAGAAGTTTTTTTTTTCAAAAGAAGGTCAAAAAAGGTCAAACTCAAATGTCTGGGATATGAGGTCAGAAATGTTGGTACCCCCAAAAAAGGTTCACATGGAACACACATGTGAAATATGAAAATCCTACCACCAACCGTTCAAAAGTAATGACCAAGGTTAAAGCAGATACATGTAAACAGACCAAAACCTATATGCCTGACAGACAGACTAAAAACTACCGTTATATTCCCTGAATCTTCATTATGGAGGCATGCAAGCTCAAATAAATTTATTCTGATTGTGGTTTTGATCTTGAGAAAGTCATCAAGGGAACCAGACAACAACCATCTCAAAGTCAAATTAAAACAGGTCATCAAAATGTAAGACTGTTAAATTATTGTGAATATTATCTACATAAACTGACTTGTACTTACACTAAGATTTTAGTTTTCCTTTCCTCAAACCATTTCTTCTCAAAATCATCAACTCCCTAAAGATGTTAAAAAAAAAAAAAAACAATTAAAAAAGCATAAACACATGTACAGCAAAACACTTCATGGATTTGAGACAATGAAGTTGTTATTATCAAAGTATGTGGAACTTTATGTAATGATCAACACTGACAACTTATTTTGACATATCTCTATTATTTCAGTATACCCCTGAGATAATGAACACAAGGTCAGCTGTAGATGTCTGGTATACAGCATGCCACTGAGGTAATGGACTCAAGGTCAACTGTAGATGTTTGGTATACAGTATACCACTGAGATAATGAACTCAAGGTCAGCTGTAGATATCTGGTATACAGCATACCACTGAGATAATGGACTCAAGGTCAACTGTAGATGTCTGGTATACAGCATACCACTGAGATAATGGACTCAAGGTCAGCTGTAGATATCTGGTATACAGCATACCACTGAGATAATGGACTCAAGGTCAACTGTAGATGTCTGGTATACAGCATGCCACTGAGATAATGGACTCAAGGTCAACTGTAGATGTTTGGTATACAGTATACCACTGAGATAATGAACTCAAGGTCAACTGTAGATGTCTGGTATACAGCATGCCACTGAGATAATGGACTCAAGGTCAACTGTAGATGTTTGGTATACAGTATACCACTGAGATAATGAACTCAAGGTCAACTGTAGATGTCTGGTATACAGCATGCCACTGAGATAATGGACTCAAGGTCAACTGTAGATGTTTGGTATACAGCATACCATTGAGATAATGAACTCAAAGTCAACTGTAGATGTCTGGTATACAGCATACCACCGAGATAATGAATTCAAGGTCAACTGCAGATGTCTAGTATACAGCATCGAGATAATGAACTCAAGGTCAATATAGATGTCTTGTATACAGTACACCACTGAGATAATGAACTCAAGGTCAACTGTAGCTGTCTTGGTCAACTGTAGATGTCTGGTATACAGCATGCCACTGAGATAATGGACTCAGGGTCAACGGTAGATGTCTGGTATACAGCATATCACTGAGATAATGAACTCAATGTCAACTACAGATGTCTGGTATACAGCATGCCACTGAGATAATGGACTCAAGGTCAACTGTAGATGTCTGGTACTCTGGTATACAGCATATCACTGAGATAATGAACTCAATGTCAACTGTAGATGTCTGGTATAAAGCATACCACTGAGATAATGGACTCAAGGTCAACTGCAGATGTCTGGTATACAGCATATCACTGAGATAATGAACTCAATGTCAACTGTAGATGTCTGGTATAAAGCATACCACTGAGATAATGGACTCAAGGTCAACTGTAGATGTCTGGTATACAGCATACCACCGAGATAATGAACTCAAGGTCAACTGTAGATGTCTGGTATACAGCATATCACTGAGATAATGAACTCAAGGTCAACTGTAGATGTCTGGTATACAGCATACCACTGAGATAATGGACTCAATGTCAACTGTAGATGTCTGGTATTCAGCATACCATTAAACATTGAACTCAAACATCTGTTATTCAGCATACCACTAAAATAATGAACTTAGGTCAACTGTAGATGTCTTGTATTTATTAAACAACTGAGATAATGAACTCAAGGTCAATTGTAGATGTCTTGTATTCAGCATACCATTAAACATTGAACTCAAGGTCAATTAATTTCCTGTATCCAGCATACCACCTGGATATTGGACTCAAGGTCAACAGTAGATGTATTCAGCAATCACCGAGATAATGGACTCAAGGTCATTTGTAGATGCCTGTAATTCAGTACATCACTAAGACACTGAACTCAAGATCAACTGTAGATATCTTCTATTCATCAAACAAATGAGTTAATGAACTCAAGGTCAACAAGATGTCTTGTATTCAGCATACCATTAAAAATTGAACTCAAGGTCAACTACAGATTTCTTGTACTCAGCATACCACCAAGATAATGAAGTCAAAGTCAGCTGTGGATGTGTTGTATTCAGAATACCACTAAGACTTTGAATTCATGCAAGGTCAATTGTTGATTTAGCTTAAAGAAAAATAATAGTGAATTCAACATACCTAAGAACACAAAAAACTTGTAATCCTTCTAACCATTTTGATAAGGCATATAAGAGATAAGTACTACATGTATATGGCCACTGCCCATTGTACAATTATGCATTCAATAAATAACAAGAGATTACAGACAAGTCATGCAGAAAAAATGAGAAATTAATCAATACCATATGCGTATAACACCACACACATTAGGCACTAGTATATAACACAATAACTAGTGATTTACAATAACATCACCTCTGTTCTAACTGCCAGTGCTTACTTAATATGTATAGAGCTAGATTTTTAAGTGTACCAGCATCTTAACAATAACTTTTCTGTACACACCATTCTGATGACCTGATAAAGATGACCAATCAGAGGAAGAATTCCATCGGGAGCAGGTATCCCTGTGGTTCTCTGATACTCCTCCGCTTCTCGACGCCTCAGCCTGGGGGAAGAAAGAAGTCAAAAAAAAGTTCCAAGGGCTGATTTATATCAAATGATTATTATTAGATTATTTCTGCATTAATTGAACCCATGCAGTAGGATTACCTATACAAGACTGAACATTCTTTATCAACTGTGACAGTCACTTTTCTTTCTTTAACCTTATAAGGCTTTAAAATTTAATATATCATATGAATTAAATTTGGATTAATTTATAATTTTCAATGGAATTAACTAAATAAAACAACTCATTTTGAATAAATTGGATCTAATGTAGGCCTATAATATTTCATTGAATATAAAATATATTTACTGTATATAAGGGATATTTTCTCCCAGTGTACTTATGTTATTTTTGCCCTTTCACACTTGCAAACAATTTTGCCCCATTTTAAATTCGCCCAGTTACAGTTCTGTTTAAGAAATGATACTGTGTTCTTTGAATTTGCCCCGTTTTAAATTTGCCCACCTATAAGGCGAAAAGGGCAAAAATAAAACACCAGGAATGAAAATTACCCTGTCTACAGTATTCATTTTCAGAAATATCATTTGTTCAATTTAATGATCTGTGAGGAAAACTGATATTTCCTCATTGTCTGCAGACTAGTATTTCAGTGAACAAGAAGGACTCAGATATAGGCTAATCAATGTTTTTGCAACAAGGAAATTTCCAAAACTACATGTCACCACCCATTTCGTGTACGCACATTCATTCACGAACTGTTTAAAAACAGGACTTGTATACAAAAGAAAAATACATTTATAGCATGTACAGTCTAGTACATCATGAAAACCTGTTAATGCTATATTATTGAATAAAGAAATGATTATGTAGGACTATCAGTATCTTTAACAATGTACTGAATATCATTATTTAATTAATATTATTACACAGACGTTGATATTAATGAGATAAGGGGGCAAGATAAAATATTTGAATTAAGTCTGAGCAGTACTTGATTAATTAGGCTTTTTCTAATTAAAAAAAAAAATAGAGAGAGGGAGAGAGAGAGATCTATATATTAATTACACATGCAATGGAGAAGTACCTAGTTCATGACTTCACATTTTCTCCTTGAATATTTAATTATAGGTCTATATCATAACTTGACAAGAATTCAAATAGCATATATTTACGCATATATCTATTAGACCTACTTTTACAATACTGTTAGTGTTACATGTGCTATTTCATCAGCAACCCCTATACTACATTGTAAGTCAGTTGTTAATATAAATGATGTCCCTTATTATAGAATTTAATACTCATCTTACCATAACAATAGGAAAACGACGAAAAAAATTCCACCAAATGACAATACCCATGAATCCAGCAGACAGCAGAGATGCAAGTCCATTCTCCGTCAAGTTTGAATCTATCGATCATTTGACCTACTTTCACTTTTACAATCAATGTAGGCTATGGCACGCTGATTGCGTCAAGAGCGCATCAAATATAGGGTTAGGTAAGTCAGAAAACATTTTATTAGATAACAAAAAAGTGCCATTCGCATCATGTTAATGCAGCCGTCATCTTGGCATCATAACTAGTTTTGACACGCATAAATTGCACTAGTTTTTAAGGCATTCCCTGTAATTACATGAAATTTTTTTTTCTGTAACAGCTGCATTTGGCTTATAAAATCACAGAATTTCTTTAAAATTTGCTATGATAAAATTATTTCACACCATATATTCATATCAGGGAAAAATTGGTTGCTAAGTGTAATGGTCACTATGGAAACATGTCATAAAACTTGAAAAATGCCTTTTTTTCAAAATATGTTTAGAGTCCCATCAATCATTCTACAAAAACATAGCCAATTAAGAATTTTTATGTCTTACAAATTTACCGTTGTAATATCTTAATGTCTTTCCACTGCAAATCTTAATGTCGCTTCATTTTTTTTTTTTATTTATTTATTTATTTATTTATTTTTTAACAAATTTCAAGATGGAATTTTCAGTCGTAAAAGCCCATTGAGCTCATTTTCGTAGATTAAAAAAAATATTTTTTTCGCGTTATAACGCGAAACTTTCGCGAATAAACGCGTAACTTTCGCGTTATAACGCGAAACTTTCGCGTTATATAACACGAAACTTTTCCTGTAAAACAGAGACATTTGCATAAGTCTGCAGTTTGTTTTACTTTTTAATGATCTAGTTTATTCATTACAGTGAAAAACGAAAGACTATTTTGAACTTGGATTATCACGAGCTGAAATTTTATGTTTTCTCGCCATTGAATGTGTCTTTCCTCTTTCTAAATCTTTTTTGCCGTCACATTTTGTCTTTCTCAATGCTGTTCAATACAAGTGTTGAAGCGTATAGTAGAGGAGCGAAAATACAAGTCTAATTTTAATTAGATTGAACACTCTATATAGAATTTGAAATAAAAGATCTCAAAAAATTGACAACAATGAGGTAAATTTGTATTTCACGGAACAATTGTGTCACATCACATGAGTAACCTAATGTGAAAATTGGATAACAAATATTCCTATCAAATATTTCATCTCCGATAGACTCACTGAAGAAATACAACATTGTATTTTAAGGTTGCACCATTTGGTCATACCATTACTTACGAAAAAACATTGGCAATTTATTCAAAGAAAGCAACGAGTGGAGATCTTCCTGAGAAAAAAAAATATTAGTCTACAGAATTTCTTGGATTCAACAAGTGAAAAACAAGAAAATCTTTAAAGGAATATTCATTTAATTAATTAGTAGGGTTTTGAGATTAAATGCAAAATCAACACTAATCTATCCATTTCTCGGAACTATTCTCTTTTACATCTTCTGAAGAAATGTCATTTATAAATTCATAGAAGTCCCCCTCTGCGCTCATGTTTTTTATCTGTCAGTCAAGATCACAGGTTCCTGAGTAACATGACTATATATGTATAATTTCGCGTTATAACGCGAAAGTTACGCGTTTATTCGCGAAAGTTTCGCGTTATAACGCGAAAAATATATTTTTGTTACCTACGAAAATGAGCTCAATGGGCTTTCGTAGAATCAGGCCCGTAGGGCAACAGTGGCTGTCAGCTATCATCCGCAACTGTACTCGGCAATGCTGGTACCGGACATCCATGACTGTACCTGCTCACTAATATCAAAAACGGAATGTCAGAGCAAGATTTTCCGGATTGTTCAAAGTATTCAACTATATGTTGTTAATAAAGTATGGATTGTTTTTTAATGAAAAATACGAAATATGTTAATATGGAGGAAAGAAAATTTCTGATTTTAAATAAATCTACTCTATGAAAGGCTGTAATCGCCAAAACGGTAACGATAACTAGCTTAGTGAATATATCGCGGAAAATATATGTAAGTTTGACTATGCCTAAATCCATTGCATGGATCGCTATAATCTCTATAAAAAAAAGTAACATTTACTACAGCGTCAATTTGTATATCTATGACTGTATACCTGTGCCTGATATACAACATCTGCGACTGTACCTGTGCCATACATACTACCACTGACTCAACCCGCGCTTGATTAATAACACCCACAACAAAAAATTCTATGGATTTTCTCCGATTTAGATTTAGTCAATCAAAGCGCAAATAACGCTAATCTTTATATTACCCATGACAGTGATACCGAGACAAACGATGTCAGCAGTGATTAGGGAAGGATCCAAAACTTTTACAGATTTAAATTTAAAGCTTTATGTTCAGAGTACTATATGAGCCTGGTCTTTAATTTTTGGGGGGTGGGGGGGGGGCATGATTTCAATATCCTACGTGCTCAATAATAATGATGAATTTAAAATGAAACATGCTAGTATAATTACAGAAAATATACGAGTAAACAATAAACAAAGTAAAATAAAAAAGGAAATTAAAATAAATATTGGAATTAATTTGTAATCCTTAATTTTATGTTAGAAAGTATAAGTACGTCACAATATTATTAATTTCACCCATTTCATTGATCACGCAAGTGGTGTCAATGAAAAACACAGGTTTTTCCCCATAAATATATGTCTTAGTATATATACGGGTGGAATGGGCTGATTCACGCGTTTTCAATGTGTTATATATAAACATCTCAAGTGCACCCCAGGAAGTAGCCTCCTATGCCCTGAAAAAAAGAATAGTTCCTGACAAAAAAAACCTTTATTTACTTACAAAGTACATAAAATTTACTAGACACAGGTATCAAAGTTGTAAAAATAGGCTGGAACACCCCCCCCCCTCCAAAAAAAAAAATTCTCAAAAGAAATAAAAAATTAATTTATAAACAACATCCATGACTGTACTTGTGAGTTATAAAAAACATCCACGACTGTACCTGTGCAGTATACACATCTAACTCTACATCCATGACTGTACCTGTGCTTTATAAACAACATCCAGGACTGTACCTATCCAATACACACACTTTATTCTACATCCATGACTGTACCTGTGCCTTATAAACAACATCCATGACTGTATCTGTGCAGTATACACATCTAACTCTACATCCCTGACTGTACCTGTGCCTTATAAACAACATCCACGACTGTACCTGTGCAGTATACACATCTTACTCTACATCCATGACTGTACCTGTGCTTATAAACAACATTCACGATTGTACCTGTCCAGTACACACACTTCATCCTACATCCATGAGTGTACCTGTGCCTTATAAACAACATCCCTGACTGTACCTGTGCAGTATACACATCTAACTCTACATCCCTGACTGTACCTGTGCCTTATAAACAACATCCACGACTGTACCTGTCCAGTACACACAGTTTATTCTACTTCCATGACTGCATCTTTGCAACAACATCCAAGAAAAGTTACTCAAGGCTCTACTAAAAGTTTGTTCTTTCGTCGTTTGTGACCCGAACCCCCACCCCCAATGCAAAAATTTGAATTATATGCCTGCAAGGAAGCGTGAGATTTAGACTTTTGTTTTTAAGAGGTAATACTACTTCTTTCGATATACTCCATCCTCGCCTTCACAACTTCTGCCAAGTTTTATTATTATTGTAGAAGAGTTTATAAGTAATGGATTAATTATTTTAAAACCAGTGTCAAAAAGTTAACTGCTCATTTAAAACTCTTCTCATAAAGAGGGGGAAGGGTTAGACAATTTTATAAATTGAAATAACGAGTGAACCAGATTTTCAAATACTCATGAAAATGGATAAATAACCATCAAATCTCTCCGTATGTTTAACTTATGTAAAAGTCAACTGACATATTAGATTCATTGGCAATAAAATGACTATTTCTGCTGCTTTTAGTCTGTATACATATGTTCTACACCCTCATCCACCCCCCCCCCCCAACCCACTCCCCTGAAACAACAAACAATTGGTATAAATTTAAATTTGTGAAATAACAATTCATAATACTTGAAAAAGGAATTGTTGTTTCAGTGAGGGGGGGGGGGGGGGAGGGATAAAAATATTTTCCGTTGATTTCTATAGAGATGAAGTTTTACAAAAATTATAGACTTATCTCTCTTTGTTTTCCAAAATAAGTTATGTTTTTTGATAAAATTCACATAAATATTCGGTATATAAATATGAACAAGAGGTCCAAGGGCCTTAAAGGTCACCTGAGTATAATGCAACAATTTAGAGGATCCATAGAGTATAAAATGAACTGAAAGGTGAAGCTTTGTTGCCCAAAAGCAAGAAAAATAAGGTGATCAGGATCAACAAGATAATTAATCTAGTATTCATTAACAGTTCATAAATTAGATTCTAATCTGTTCCCCATTTATCAATACCACCATACAGTATATTAACAAACTATCAGTGCTTCTGTACTATTTTAATTCCTAGTTGAGATCTCTTACATTGGCCTCTCTTGGTCTTTGTTAAACATTTAAAAAGACAAGTTATTTTTGTCTCATTTTTATTTATCTATTACTTACAAGTCTACCTGATCATTAAAACTATGAAAGTACTTTTTGTATTATACAATAAAAATTCTTGCATAATTTTCTTATTCTATTAACCTTTTAAGTACATTATTTACAGTGATTAACTATCAAAAGTAAATGGCAAAGGGGAATAACTCTTCTCAGTAGAATACAAATTAATATATGGCAGGACCAGAACACTTGACCAAATGGTCCAGATGTTCAACAATCTGGTAAAAATACTCTTCCTTGTTAAAACTTTTACTCTTTTTGCCCCTGATATGCCCAGGTGCAGAGAAGATTTTTAAAGAAATAATGCAGAAGTTTGCATTTCGTTACGCTTCATTGATTTTTGACGGAATTATAGCATTTTCAATTTTTAACGGGAACCAGATTACACTTGCCGGTAGGGGACTAGTATTGCTAATGCAATACTGGTTGCACAACAGTATTAAATTTTGCTATATATTCTTACCAGAAATGCGCAACTTTGAGTATGTGGTATTAATTGAAAACAAACTTTTGAGAAGTTTCCTTTTCAGATCTTGTAAAACAATTCTTTATAAAGATTTTAGTACCAAAAAATACATAGCCATCCAGCAAGGCACGCAAGTTTGTTTCGGTCGAAGTCGAGCAGGTGCTTGAAAATCAAGCCCAGG